CAGCTTCTCGTCAGACACGCTGACTTGGTTGACACTAGACTAACAACTAGTCTCTGAAGTGAACATATTTTACTGGGAAAAAAATTCATAGTAAAAAAAATAAAATATAATGAAAAGGAGCCCTGAGACTTTCTTCATTTTCAGCTGAAGCTGAGGAAATCTAGACTTGCCACATTTTCTAGACTTGCGTGAGCTTTCTTGGATATATTTGCTTCAGGGTCTGTATGGCAGACTAGGTTGACACATGTCATCGTATCCCAATTGCGTAGATCGTTGCTCATGCTGTTGATCACTGTATTGTCTAGTCCAGATTTGATTATTTACAGACCATCGCCATATAGCTGGAATATTGCTGAGTGCGGCGTTAAACAACAACAACAACAACAACAACAAACCACAACAGAGAATGTGGCTACATCACAAAGGAGAAACGAAATGGTATAAAAAGGGAAAGAACTCGTGTTGGTTTGTAAATGAACTGATTCGCGCTTCACCCACCAGAGAGTCTCGGCAAATATGAAAAAACAATTCTTTTCGATTTCTTTTCTTTAAACAATGTTTGGAAATATGATAACATATATTCTGCATCAGGGAAATTAGGTTTATTAAAACAAGCTTGCTTAACGTTTAAACCAGTAGAACGATGGTATAACCATAAACCTCATTACACTGAGATGATATGTGTCTGTCCAGAAATATAACATTCAACAAGTAGGCTGATGAAAGAGAGTGAGTGAGTGAGTTTAGTTTTACGCTGCACTCAGCAATATTCCAGCTATATGGCGGCGATCTGTAAATAATCGAGTCTGGAGTAGACAATCCAGTGATCAACAGCATGAGCATCGATCTGCGCAATTAGGAACCGATGACATGTGTCAACCAAGTCAGCGACTCTGACCACCCGATCCCGTTAGTCGCCTCTTACGACAAGCATGGGTTGCTGAAGATTGATATTCTAACTCGGACATTCACGGGTCGATGAAAGAGAGTTGTACAGTCCATGTATATACATAAAGACTGGATGTTGTTGCTAACTTACAAACAAAAAATGAACAGTTTAGTGTTTAGCAATAGCCCGTACACATTTGACTTTTAACATTTTGATACAGACGGTATTAGGACAACTGATATATGCACCGGAAAATGTACATAACAGAATATGCTAAAAGCAGCAGATCCTAATAGAGTGAGTGAGTGAGTGAGTTTAGTTTTATGCCGCTTTTAGCAATATTCCAGCAATATCAAGGCGGGGACACCAGAAATGGGCTTCACTACACATTGTTCCCATGTGGGGATTCGAACCCGGGTCTTCGGCGTGACGAGCGAACGCTTTAACTCTAGGCTACCCCTCCGCCCAAGATTCTAATAGACCTTACAGAAAGGCATTTACTGAATAGTTCTTTTGGTGTAAAGGGTTTACAGATAGATATTGTAAACTATGGATCATTTATAGAAACGAACGGAATTTCTCAAACAGACCCTACTTATTTGAGACAGACCATAGTGGAGCATGTGACAATAGGTCATAAGTTGTGGAGCATTACAGACTATATATATGTGTAGTCGACCACTGGAATATGGTATAGTATACAGTAAACTTAAGTTTGTTTAACTTACAAATATAACAAGCACAGCAGAAAATTACAATAATTAGATTCAGCTAGAGGAATATTCGAAGAGTGAGTGAGTGAGTTTTACGCCGCACTCAGCAATATTCCAGCTATATGGCGGCGGTCTATAAACAATCGTGTCTGGACCAGACAATCCGGTGATCAACAGCAGGAGCATCATTTTGCGCATCGATACGTTACTTGATAAGACACCACACTTCTGTGTGAAGTGCAACATGCAACCTCTGGTTACAGGTCTAATGATGTTCCTTGCTGTGTCAGCACCATACCAAAGGTATGGAGACCTGATTCACGTCGTGTTTGCCTCTCATAGTCAGCTGACTCACCGGAAATATTCAAAGCCGCGTTCAGTCTCACTCACTCACTCATTCACACATTTAGAGACAACGTAGTTTGTTGGTTGGTATGTTGTTTGACGCCGCACACACCTATATTACAGCTATACGGCGGTGGTTTGTAAATAATCGATTAGGAAATCCAGTGATCAACAGCATGAGCATCGATCTACATGTGTCAACCAAGTCAGCGAGCCTGACCACCCGATCCCGTAAGTCGTCTCTTACGACAAGCATGGGATGCAACCTTGACTAACGCTTAGTCTCTGAATGTATATAATTTTGATGGTAACAAATAATTACTTTTAAATTGAAAAGGAGCACCAGTGAGAAGGGAGATCTAGACTTGCTTCATCTGAGGCTTTAGCATTGCAGGGAAGGCTAGGCAGTAGGGTAGACTAACAGCTAGTCTCTGAAATGAACATATTTTACTGAAAAAAGTTCATAGTAAAAAAAAAAATTATAATGAAAAGGAGCCCTGAGACTTTCTTCATTTTCAGAAGCTGAGGAAATCTAGACTTGCCACATTTACTAGACTTGTGTGGGCTTTCTTGGATATATTTGCTTCAGGGTCTGTACGACAGACTAGCAGTAGGGAAGCTAATGTGGTTCAGGTACTGTGAGACAGACAAGGAGATAACCGTACGTAGTGAAATATTAACAACAATACCTGATTATTAACAGTTTGCATGCTGAACAAATACCATGACTTATTCATAACTAAACCATAGTTAAGCATGAGCAACTTTATTATCTAACTAAAGCGTTTAATCGTGACATAAGCTTATCACATAAAAAACAATTATATAAGTATGCAAATTAGATATGCAAATATGATAACCGGATGTGGGACTGTTTCTGTGAGAGCGCGATTAGAATTGAAAGCTAAATTTCAGTGAAATTGTACCAAAGATAGAATTAAATAACACGTAATCGTTGATTCCGTTTTCAAAGTTTCAATTATTCAGCAACACTCGGTTCAAATATTTTTTGAATGATTGGAGGAATGTTTTCATCTCAGCTAACGAATGTCAAAAAAGGAAACAGATTGTATATTTTGGTTCACACGGCACGGGAAAACATGTATCACTTCACACGACATATACGTCAGATTTCCACAAGTTTCTGGTCTTTAGTTTGATGCATTTATTTCTTAAAAGGGAAAAAGTAATGTGAAAATGATCACTCGTGTTTTAATATGGGATATATAAACCTCGTCCCGTTAATGGGCATTTGCTTCGTCAAAGGCTCATGAAATACCTATTAACAAAGAAACCGTTGATGTTTCCCATATATACACCACACAGTGACTTGTTATTATTAACTTTAGTATTGATTATTTGGCATAAATAGAGAGTTTATTGCAGAGTTTATTGAATGTTCTGATAGTACCTCAATGAAAAACATCAAAGATCCAAGAGGAACACTTTTTATGTTAAGACAACTTCTTTCTTGCAATAGATACGACGTTTCGGTGTATAGTCTCTTTGCAGTGAAAACGTACCGATGAATTTCACTTTATGTATAAACGTAGTTTATTGTCCTTTGGTGAGATTACAATGGAATAGGACTGGTGAAGATCCGGGTTAGAATTGGTCTTCAGTAACCCATGCTTGTCGTAAGAGGCGACTAACGGGATCGGGTGGTGAGGCTCGATGACTTGGGTGACACATGTCATCGTATCCCAGCTGCGTTGACTGATGCTCATGATGTCAGTCACTGGATTGTCTGGTTCAGATTATTTACAGCCCGCCGCCATAAAGCTGGAATATTGTTGAGTGCGGTATTTAACATCAAACAATCCTGTAACGAACTACGTTAAAATGAACTAAAACTAGTGGTCCCTTTGTGTTTGGTATGAACGTAGTTTACTATCCTTTGAGGCTGCAGTTCGATAGTATGATCATTGGAACTCCACGAGAGGAAACAAGAAACACGCATGTTAAACACCTGTTATAAAAGTGAGTGAGGTGAGGTGAGGTGAGGTGAAATTGGGTTTAACGTCGTGCTTGAGAATATTTCGCTCATATGACGACGTGCATGCGTGTGTATGTGTATGTGCGGCTGCTTGTACTAGCCCAGACTGAAGCTGGTTTTATAGTGCTAGCCCACTGAGATACCATGCCGCAGTGAAGCATGAATACCCCACTCAGACACATTATAGTGACTCCGAGCCGACCAGTCCTTGTTGTACCCATTATGCCGAGCGCCAGACAGGGACCAACAAGTACCATATTTTAACGTCTTTTGGTATGACGCGGTCGGGGATCGAACCCGCCACCTTCCGCTCTCCGGGCGGACGCTCTAACCACTACACCACGGAGGCGGTCTTATAAAAGAGAGTGAGTTTTACGCCGCTTTTAGCATTTTTCTATCAATATCATGCGGGGGACAACGGAAATTGGCTTCGCACATTGTACCCGTGTGGGGAATCGAACCCGGGTCTTCGATGCGAAGCTTTAACCTTTAGGATACCCCACCGCCCCCTGGTATAGGACTGACTGACTGACTGAGTTTGGTTTTACGCCGCTTTTAGCAATACTCCACCAACATCACGGCGGGGGACACCAGAAATGGGCTTCACACATTGTACCCATGTGGGGATTCGAACCCGGGTCTTCGGCGTGACGAGCCAACGCTTTGACCATTAGGCTACCCCACCGCCCCCTGTTATAGGAAGATCAGGTTAGAGAAGTATGTTAATTCAATAGTGCTTCATCATAAAGCTGGTTTATCTTTACCGGGACCCCGACTGACCAGCTGATTCATAGACACTACACCAAGGACAAATTCACTGATAATAAGCATTTTCCCTGTGTATCAGATTGCTATGTTTGTTGTAGTTATTCGTATTACCTTCCTCTATATGCACCTCATTTTCCTATTGATATGGTATTGTTGCTTCTAATGATTATTGAATTCAATTCTGCTCTGATAATACTCTTCCGAAACCAAATTCATGAGGAAATATTTCGAAACGTTATCAGCCATCAAATCAGAGACGATCGCAAAGCGTTCGTGTGCAGTGTGAAAATTAATGATTTAGCATACTAGTAAATGTGAGTTAACTGAAGACAGATCTTGACATGTTGTAAATAGTGTGTTCCTAACGACAGGAACTTCAGGCCAAAGTGTAAACGTCGCATTTTGAGGTAGACTACAACGTCATATGTATCGACCTTACTGGAAGGTGCCGTTGTCCTTCCACAACTACCAAAGATTGACACTCGTGTGATATTTATAGTTCTGTTACAAACAACTTTGGAAAGAAGGATTTAACTGAATAATGGCGTTCGATGAAAACAGTTCAGCTTCCTCTTATTCCCTTGATGACATGAACGACAAATTCGCCCTCGACGTTTTGCCCGCCATTTTGTTTCTCTGCCTGGTCATGGTTGTGGGAAGTAGTGGGAATGTCGTCGTGTGTTTCGTGTACTGTGGTAGGAAGACGTCGGTGACGAGGACGTTCATTTTGGCACTTGCCGTGGTGGATCTCAACAACTGTGTCTTCAACATCCCCGCAGACGTCGCAGATATAAGATATAAGTACACCTTCGGCAGTTCCAAAATGTGCCCAGCTAGCCGATTTTGGATAGCGTTTTCTTCTATAGCCTCTTGCAGCATATTGGTAGCAATCGCCATTGAACGATATCAGAAGATATGCAAGCCGTTCCAGAAGCAGACGACACCCAAAACAGCCATGGCTGCCATTGTTATTTGTTGTGTTTCAGCTGTCGTTTTCGCCATCCCTGCTGCTGTTCTGAACGGGAATAGGGATGTGACGATCAGAGGTCTTAATGGGTCCGATTGTGGAATCAAAAATGAATTCAAAGGCAAAGCTTTTCCCAAAACGTTTAATGCTATCCTTTTCTTTCTTTTCTGTTGTGCAAGTGGGACAATCATTGCAACGTACATGCTCATCTGGAAACGTCTTCGAGCACAGAAAGCGTTGATCAAGAAGGCTTCTCGGGGAGTGATATGCGACACAACTGAAAGAGCACATCAATTAGGGAACGCCAGAACATCAGACGTCAGCTTTGGATATACCGCAACGACGTTTGCACCAGAAACTACCACGGATCCGACGGCGAGGTCAACGCAGGAACCAGATACAGGACCACATCAAATGACACAAAACTCATCTGCTTCTGTAGATAAAACGACGTTGATGATGTTTCTTGTGTCTATATTGTTCATAGTAAGCTTCTTACCTTACATAATAATCACTACAATATCCGCTGTCGACCGTAATGTGCTCAGGAACTTGACTGGGGCCGATCTTGTGTCTTACACCATCGCCACCCGCTTCCACTTCATCAACAGCGCCTTCAACCCCGTCGCCTACAGCATCACCAGCAGTGGTTTCAGGACATACCTCAAGAAGCGGACAAAGGAGTGGTTTGCCTGAACAGACCTTCGTATAGGGAGTAAGCATGAAATATATTGATGAACTACTTTCATATTACAGTCAGAATCTTCACCGAATTTTTTCTAATCGTATCCATTTGCGTAGATCGATGCTTGTGCTGTTAAAAACTGGAGTGTCTGGTCCAGACTATTTACAGACCGCCGCCATATAGCTGGAATATTGCTGAGTGCGGCGTAAAACTGAACTCACTCACTCTAAACTTTTGATGGGTAGTATATTATTAAAGCGTAGGTGATATATTAGTTGACTGATGGGAGACCCTTAATTGTTTAATATCAATTTCTCTAGGCCAGGGACCGATACAAACTGATGATGCATAAACATGTATACATATATACTTAATTACATTAAATATACACAACATGAATAGGGATGAAGTGACTTATTAATCTGCTGCCATATAGCTGGAATATTGCTGAGTACGACAAACAGCAAACAAACAAAAACGTTCTATTCTTCTTTCGAGGATTATTAACTTGTCTGGTACTACATGCGGTACGTTAATGATATTAATGATAATATCTATTATGATACGAATTTCCCAGCCACCACACCACGTCAAACTTATTCACAAATTGACAGTCGCACAAACACACGACAATAATACTCGAGTCAAATACATCGCCATCAAACAGCAATTTCATGTGTGTTTGTTTTTAACCACGGTCAAACATCGGCGTACACCGTTTATACCTACCCGTTTACAAACATGAACCCAAAATGTAAATACGAATCTTATACATTTTATGAAAAGATTAAGAGCTGATATAAATCATATCTGATCAGCTATACCACTACAAACTGAAATTAGCGTGCCCTTAATGGACTGTGTGGTTATCTGTGTTCATCATTGGGAATATTTTGTATTTATTATCAGTGTTTAAGGAGGTTAGGTAGCTAGGTAGGTAAGTAGATATAGTTTTTGGGCGACCTTGGGCCTGACAAAGGCTTATATGCGCTCCAACACTTATCAAAACGTCATATTTATGTTCAGTTAATTTATGTCATACTTCCCGTTTGAATGAGGCAGTCTAACACAGCTCTTTGTATGCCGCCATACATTGAATTATCCCCGAGTATTGTGTTAATTGTAAAATGTTTTTGGTTTTGTTATGCACAGTTTCTTTGAGATCCTGACGTGGTATTTCATGACCTGGACATTCAATGAGATAGTGCGGAACCGTTTCTGGGCACTGTAAGTTACGGTATTCACATAGAGGAGAGATGTCTATATCTAAAATACTTCTATATGTATTCAAGCAACAATGGCTCAAGGAAATTATTACATGTGTGGATTTGTGTCCCTTTGCTGTGACAGGATCCGAACATCATTGTTCAAATACCACATTCACCTCGAAATAAGCGTGTTCACAGGTTTTAGTTGTTGATAGTTAGAACTGCCAAACCTTTAGTTTTCTTTCTCAAACTGACACAGCTTGTTTAAACTGGAATGCTGTTTAAAGCACACCAACATCATATAATAAAACGTCTCCTCTTGTCAACTTACTCACGTGGTGTTGAAATATTTATTGTCCAACTGGCGCCGTAACGGTTGATGGATCCTACCCGTGTGACGGTCATGACCTATGCCTCATCCATGTGATGACATTTGGGAGCTTCGGAAACAAACCGATTTATATACTTATCACAGGTCAACGAAATATCACAAGTATCATGTTGCATTTGAATTGTCCTTGGCTGCTCACCACGTTGAATGTCGTTGTAATCGTCCCAGGTCAACGTTGTTATCAGTTCTGGGAGAAAGGGTTCTCTGACCGTTGTGGACGTTATCAGTGGACATTATCCTTTACATTGACCCCACGGTGTTAGAATGTGTTACAGTGTCTGTGAGATGGTTTAATGTCGCTTGGAACAGTATTCAGTTTCTATGACACTGCGTGTTTGGTTTTTGTGTGATGAAATCCCGAAGTTATGCAGGTCTGAGGCGCTTTACCTCTTTGGTAAAACCTACGATCACGGGTACGGCGCTGAGTGAGAGAGTTTAGTTTTACGCCGCTTTTAGCAATATTCCAGCAATATCACAGCGGGGTACACCAGAAATGGTCTTCACACATTGTGCCCATGTGGGGAATCGAACCCGGGTCCTCGGCGTGACGAGCGAACGCCTTAACCACTAGGCTGCCCCTCCGCCCACGGTACGGCGCTGAAACATAATCGGAGCTAACCGTGATTCGAATCTACAATCATAGGACATAGTTATTCACCATCAAATACTGCTATCAGACGCTTATATCGCAGAGCAACATGAAGTTAGAAACGGATTCGGTAGTAGGGATTGGGGATTCGAATCCCGAATCTAAATTTCTTGATCACATTCGGGATTCGAATCCCGAATCTGAAAAAAGATCAGATTAGCGATTCAAATCCCGAATATGAAAACAAAAATCATATTCGGGATTCGAATCCCAAATGCCCAATCCGAATCCGTTTCTGAACAAAAAATTCAGATTCGGGTTTGAATTCCAAATCCCAAATCCGTTTCTAACTTCATGTTGCATATCGCAGAGGGGCTCACCGTGAGCTTCGATAGCAGGAAAACTCACAATGATCGCGTGAATATATAAGGCTTTATTTATACGACGTATAAAGACATAAATGAATGGCAAAAGGATTGTGGCTTGTTTATACGTCCAAACAAGCATAAACATCGTTTAAAGATTTAGAGAAGGAATGAGAATGTGTTTTAACAATCGTCGACGGTGTTTCAAGTTGCTGATGATGTCTGTTGATGTGCGTACGGTGGCGACAGAGCTTATCTGCTAAGATCCTTTACCACAAATACAGAGGGGGATAATCACAGAGCATTCATCCTTGCTGTACTCCAACGGCTAATTACCGTGTGGGTAGGATGTGGACGTGTACTCGTTATTCCGCACATGTGGTTTTCTGGCAAGGTAGGCAGGGAAGAACACGGGGACACACGACCCCGTTATACAGCTGGTATCGGGAATCTACATGATGGAAAGGTTGTTCGCCAAATGTCAACCAGCAGCGTTTAGTGAGTGAGTGAGTATGGTTTCACGCCGCTTTAACAATATTCCAGCAATATCACTATGGGGGACACCAGAAATGGGCATCACACATTGTACCCATGTGGGGAATCGAACCTGGGTCTTCCGCGCGACGAGCGGACGCTTTAACCACAAGGCTACCCCACCGACCCAGCAGCGTTTAGAGATTGACAATCATATACAGTAATTTGCTCTTATAACGAATTCAGAGGGACCACTAATTTTGTTCGTTATAACCGCAGTTCGTTATATGTATTTCGACTAAAACATACAACAGTCGGTCCATAAAGCAGGCTCGTTATATCCCTTCAGATCGTTTCAAGCATGTTCGTTATAGACGAAATTTACTGGAGTCTATGATACCTATCGCTACATGTTATTACAATTGTTTTCTATGTTTCCTTCTATTTGGATCCGTGGTGTAGTGGTTAGAGCGTCCGCCCGGAGAGCGGAAGGTGGCGGGTTCGATCCCCGACCGCGTCATACCAAAAGACGTTAAAATATGGTACTTGTTGGTCCCTGCCTGGCGTTCGGCATTAATGAGTACAACAAGGACTGGTCGGCTCGGAGTCACTATAATGTGTCTGAGTGGGGTATTCATGCTTCACTGCGGCATGGTATCTCAGTGGGCTAGCACTATTAAACCAGCTTCATTCTGGGTTAGTACAAGCAGCCGCACATACACATACACACGCATGCACGTCGTCATATGAGCAAAATATTCTCAAGCACGACGTTAAACCCAATTTCACCTCACCTCACCTCATCTATTTGGATCAGGGGCGGTGGGGAAGCCTAAGCCTTGAAGCGTTCGGATATAATGAGTGAAAACCATTTGTGGTGTCCCTTCTGTGATATTGCTGGAATATTGCTAAAGGCGGCTTAAAACCACACTCACTCACTCTATTCGGCTCAAAACCGTTCAGCTCCGCCATGGAACATGTCATTACATATATGCATTGTCCATGACTAAATATATTTAAAGTATAGATGCCAGCATAAAGTCTAGGTAAACAATGACGAGATAAAATTGATATAATGATCAAAGCTGTGTTAAACCCAACTCACTCACTCACTCACTCACTGCGACACCAGACACAGAGTGACTCTACACCCAGCACTACATCATTACCCTGGATCATTTTACCATCGTTCATGTCTATAAATATCTAAATTACACTGCCTGTACCGCCACATATCATATTATAAAGCCAATGCAATATCTGCTGGGAGTGATGTTTCAATCAATATTTTAGTTTTAATTCCAAGCTAAATAACTGGGTCATGTATCATGGCACGCACCCACGCCGATCTACAGCTAAATTGATTTTGTTGAAATTGAGGAGAGTACCATTACACCTGATGTATGATCAGCCTCCCTGTGGACATCACATGGTCTCCCGAGAGGTCTCTGATGGATCAGATGTACGTAAGACCTGGTTGCGTTTGGGCGAGCCCGACAATGAGTGTGTTTCTGTACACGACACAAACTTTCGCGGTTTCTTTCACTGTTGAAACCCAGTTCCGTACTGGTTGTAACAGTGTTAAATACATATATACGATTACCGTACATAACAAGTGCTACGATAAGCAAACATCTTGCATTGTAACATAGGCCTAATCGTAAATGCTATATTTCAGTAGGAAGACACGGGCGGTGGGGTTGCCTAGGGGTTGAAACGTCACGCCCGAGACCCGGGTTCGATTCCCCCACATGGGTACAATGCCTGAAGGCCATTTCTGCTGTCCCCCGCCGTGATATTGCTGAAATTTTGCTAAAAGTGGTGCAACAAGCAAATTACTCACTCACTCTGCAAGGTACGAAGGGGCGGTGTGGTAGCCTCGAGGTTAAAGCGTTCGCTAGTCACGCCATAAGACCCGGTTTTGATTCCCCACATGGGTAAAATGTATGACTTGTATTTCTCGTGTGATATTCCTGGAATATCGCTAAAAGCGGGGCGATACCATAGTCACTCACTCACTCACTCACTCACTCACTCACTCACTCACTCACTCACTCACGCATTCAACGGAACCGTAATATTGTCGTGCATTCTAAACTCTATCACATATTTACGATAATCGCAACC